GCATTAGGAACTAGTCAATAGCAAATTTCAAAAGTGCTACCAAAATGAGAAAAGGCCGGGGACCAAGACCACAAGTTGATAGTGGAGGCACTTAGTATGGTTCAAGATAATGTGTCTTTAGCTTTCAGTTATATACAAGCACAGTTATGGATGAAAGCAACAGCAGCCTTGATCATACAGAAAGAGGGTGAAGGTGATTTTCCAGTTGAGATCCAAAATATTGTTTGGGATAATGTGATTGATTTATTTTGAAAGAAAATTCCAATCTTGGTGGACTATGGTAAATTTTACCTATGATCCTACTTCTAATGTGGCCACTGCCTTTGTACTTACTCTATGTAATGCCACTGTTTATGTTATCCACCCCATCATTGCACTAGGATTAAACCATGAGAAAATGGTGCTTTATTCTTTGGAACATAGAGTGTGGGCACAAAAGATGAATGAGAAGTGGCAAACAGTAAACTTAGAATCTTGTGTTACTAGGGAACAACTAGGATTCATCTGTGAAAGCAACACCATCGATGCTCAAGATGTGTGTCTTGACAATGAACAAAGTATTTGCCACTTCGAGATACATCCAGTCACTAATCAGAAAACTGTGCTTGTATACACTGGTAAAGGTTGTGTATGCTTAAGGACTGCTTGTACTTTTGTAGAAATCGATAACAACAGTGTAGTTTTACCTAGTAAAAATCATTCTAATTTTTGTATTTGTAATTTTGTTAAGATTATCAGGTGTGATTTTTCGTATTTGGCATCAGTGACATCTCACCAGCTGATCAGAAACAATTACACAGTGTATCACAGGCTATCACCTATTCCTATTGGAATGGACTTTACATTAGTAAGACAATTAATTAAACACCAAGACCTAATTGAGATTTTGAAGAAGATCCAGAAAAGCGGAGAAAAGACTCTAATTACAGTCCATCATAATACAAAAGAAATAAGCAGAATTCTGCAAAGAATAAAACAAGATGCAGATCATAATTGGTGGGATGTAGTCTTTGGGTGGTCACCAACTGCAACTGGGATTTTCAATACGTTGTGCCACCCCATTGTAGTTTTATTGATAATAGCTGGGCTGAGTTTAGGGTTATCTTTTATAGTGCTAATTTGGAATTGGAGAATGGTACAACAAATAGTGGTGTTGAACTCCTTATCAAATGTACATGGCAAAGCATTAAGAGACATCTATTATCGTAGAAATTTGTACTAAGTAAAAAGAATTTACTTGTTTTCTAGAAAAGGGGGGAATGAAGCAGGGGGTTGGAAATTTAACTCAGGATAGAAACCAATTTTGGATTTTTTTGTTTAGTCTTTTACCTTGGGTGCTCACAAAAAGGCCTGCAGAGAGAACAAACGAGTCGCAAGGCTACTTAGAAAGGAATGCAACCATCCAAGCTGAAGAGATAAGAAGGGGCCCCCCCACTGACCTTGAGACTGAAGCAGACAAAAACTGAATCTGGGTTATAAACACCACATTACAACTAAGTGACTGAAGAACTGCACAGGCTCATAAAATTGATAAGACAGTTTAATGCATATGTTTTTTATGCATATGCAACAGGTTAGGGGATAAAGTAGGCTTGGGAATTTTTGGGGGTGCGCATGTCCTTGGGGAGCATGCATCCAGCACTGAAATAAATTATACCGGCTTTACAACTTTTACAAGTTGTGGAGTTCTTTTTCCGCAAATCACGAAGTACCTGAGGAACAGGGGAAAAACCACAATACAAAAGTGCAAAAAGCGATTTACCTGGAAATTAGCAAAAAGAGAGTGACAAGAAAATAAAGGACAAAACCGCGTTGGCCACTGTACTCGCCGCCAAGATCATATACACCTGCTATGGGTAGCAACCCCACAGGCATGGGAGGTGGGGGTAGAAGCTATACCAGACCTCTGTTATTCTTTTTTTCTCTGTTACTCCTTTTTTGTCTTTTCCCTTTTGGAATTCAAGCAAATCCATGTCATAAGTGCCACCAATTGCTTTACTTGGGAAAAACCCAAGGTTCTTTTTTCACTGCTCACACCCACATCAACAGATACTGTTATGACTCATCCAAATTAGAAACCTGTACACAGAATGGGCAGACATTCTGGGTTGCAGAAAACTTAGGACAAGGTGGTCAAAGGCTGGGAAGTAAATGCCCAAAGGGGAAAAGATGGGATTGCTTTACAATTGCTCTCAGGGGTGAAGTCCAGGATTTGGTAAAAGAACAGATAGTGAGCAAGATGACAAAGCAAATACAGCAATCTAACCCTATGTCAACCCCACATGAAGATTTGTATACAAAACTCAAACATCAATTGGAAAAGGAAATATAAATCCCTAGACTAGGGAAAAACCTGCTTGTGGATTCGGGGGAAAGATTTAGTAGAGAACTACACGTAACCAACTGTTGGGTTTGTGGGGGACCCATAACAACAGAGGAATGGCCATGGAAATACGGTAGCCTAGGCCCTGTTGAACTCCTTAAATGGAACCGATCAAATATAAGAGGGGAGAACTGACCAGAAGGGTAGATCTTGAGTTCAACAGTGATAGGAGAAGAGTGCCTTTAGCACACTGGGAAAAATTTTCTTAATAGAGTAGGAAGTACCCCCTGTAATAGATATAGTCAGTAATGGGATTTTTACATGGTGGGTCACAAAGAACCAACGGTGTACTGGGCCCAGAGAAAAACTAATAAAAACTGTGAATACAATAATGAAGCTGGACTTTTTTTCTGTGTAATGATACAGGCAAGAATCCCTGTTCTGGAATCCCAGAGATATCCAAATTTTGGGAAAATATACATCAACAGAGTAATGATTATTGGAGGGCACCAGATGGCCTATTCTGAATATGTGGGAAAAGTGCTTACCCAAAAGTCCCCATCCCCCTGGTGGAAAGGGAGTTGTATTCTGGGAATTATACAGCCAGGATTTTTTCTTTTACCAGGGCAGGATGGGGACGACTTAGGGGTACCAGTTTATGAAGCCTTGAAAAGAAATAAAAGGGAATTAATCGGAGGATCTCAAAAATGGGGGAATGAGGAATCGCCTCTGGAACAAATATTGGCAATGTATGGGTCAGCCACATGGGCACAAGATGGGAGTTGGGAATACCAAACCCCAATTTATATGCTAAATTGTATAAGACTCCAAGCAGTTGTAGAAATAATAACTAACAAAACTCCTCTAACACTGGAATTCATATCAAACCAACAAAGGCAAACAAGAACTGTAGTGTACCAGAATAGGTTGGCCTTAGACTACTTATTAGCAGAAGAAGGGGGTGTCTGTGGAAAATTTAATACATCCGACTGTTGTTTGAAAATAGATGGTAACAGGGACGCCGTCTTGGATACAGCCAAGGATATCAGAAAAATAGCCCATGTCTCGGTCCAGAAATGGGAATTGATACTAGAAGCCAGTTGGTGGGACAATTTATTGGGAATAGAATGGTGGAAAAAGCTAAGCTTCTTCCTCTTATGTGCAGCAGCTGGTTTATTATTTCTTCCTTGTCTGATTCCCTGTTTTATTCAGCTAATCACCAGCACAGTCCAGGGTATGCCAGTAGTGGCGATGTCTATGGACCCAAAATTGGCTATATCCATAACAGCACAAAAGATAAGAACCAAGACAAAACAAAGGACCCATTCGAAGAAGCGAAAGTGATTTATGAAAAACATGAGCATATCACCAAAGTTAAAAATAAGAATTATTGCTCAAGCCAAATGATTTATGAAAAGGAAGAGGAGGGATTGTGATAAATATATTAGTGTTGGCTTTCACAATTGTTAGAGTGAATACTATGTGTTTTATAATGTTGACTTTTGTAAAAGAAGTTTTGCTAATGTTTAGAGTTCTTTTAATGCAAATGTTGTGTTGTGATACCAGTGTTGGTGAAGAGTTGTTGTAATGTTAACATTTAACCAATCAAGGAATTGAAACCTGTTGAATGTATCAAAAAGTAACAAATGACCATGACTAGGACAACTGCATATGTTCCAAAACGGCAGGATGGAGGAGGAACTATGTTAAAATGTTTGAATATGTATAACCGTTTGTAAATATGTATTTGGCTGATGCAATACCCAGGGTATATAAGGGGTGTTGCTGTGTTGACTGGCATGACTCTGGCTGTGGCTAAGCACCCAGCACTGATCCTTTTGCTTTATTGACTTTGTCCCCTATTGTCCGTTATTAAATTTTCTTTAAATTTTAACTGAGCGGGCTTTGTTTCTCACAGTGAAGAACCAGAAGACACAAGACCCTAATATTACTACTGGTCTGAACTGTTGCATGAGGGGTGGGGAAATGAGATTTTAAGGGTATAATTGCCCAGGGATTTTTTTTTTTTTTTTGTTTGAGGTCCCTCTTCAGAAACATCCAGCTTAAGCTGTAGTGTTATTAATAAAAAGGACTACATAGAAGAAGCTCCTTTTGACTTACTGATTCAGCAGAAACCTAGAATTGAACCCTATTATGGTGATTAGCATGCATAATTTCTGTAACACAGTAAAAGCAGTCAATTATTGCCAACACTTTGGTTACAAGTAATTTGCACGTACTTGTTGGTTCATTTATGAAACTGGCAAACGTAAAGACTTTAAGCTTGTGAAAAAAACGACGGTGTTTAATCTTATCCTAATGATTAATTAAATTGCATTTTTCTTTCATGTTCGGAAAGCATCCGTGTTCCTCCCAGGGGCAGAACAGTCAATACCCCTCCCACAGCCAACTGCCCTGCCAGGTGCAATGGCCACCCGCTGGCGCTAGGACTCCCACCACAGCTCAGGACCAGGACTGCGTGAAATAACAGCCGGAGCCGCTAGTTCCCACGGCTACCCCACCCCATGTGGGCACTGTGAAAAATGTTTTTGTGATTCGTGTCAGTTGGCAATGGAATCAGCAAATGCTTGTATCTGCTGTGTCAAAAGTGGACACGTTCCTTGGGATAACTACAAAGAACGGTTTTGAAACTTTCTGACTGAATAGCCAAATAAAGCATCAAACAAAAAAAAAATAGAAGTATAGTAGTGTCAAGAGATGAGGTGCCAAAAACAACTAATGCTTAGACTAAAATAGAGGAAGCTGTGGTAAAGCTAAGGGATATTGCAACAAAGCGACTAAATGCTTATGTATAATAAAAAGCTTGATGCACTTGTATGAGACTAAAATTATTTAGCAGACACTTGTGAAGGGCCTCCCTCCAAACAACCACGAGCAGGCCAGGAAGCCAATGACCACCTGGAAAGATTATGAAATTGCTGATCCAGCTTATTGATATCTGCTGATTCAGACTAACACAAGCACACTGGAAAATGCTTTGTAGGCTTAAAAACAGTATATATACTTTGCCAAACTTGTAAGTGGTGTGTGCCGTGAGTGGAGCGGTGACTCCCCGGCCACCCAGCGCTGCTTGCTTGCTTGCTTGCTTTAAAATAAAAGATATAAAAATAAAATTCGGTTTGGCTATTGAAATTTTATATCAGCACTACCTGCTCCCCTGCTGAGAGAGCTAGCGACACGGAAGCGGGCCAATCCTAGGGGAAGTAGCCCCCCTGCCCCCTCCCCCCGCCGTTCCCAGGCTCAACCCGGCCGGCTGCGGCGCCTCACGGCAACGTCACCCACCCCCAACGGCCGCTACCCACGCGCAGCCATACGGTGCTGACACACGCACACATCCCATACTACAACTCTCAGGATGCTCCGAGCAGTCGAACCACGTCCCTCACTACCTGCGCACCATGTCGTGTGAAAGGTGACCCTACCGTCACTTCCGCACGCTGTGCAGGCCGGGAATGCGAGTAGCGATTGGCCGGCGCCTGCCCTGCTTTTCAACGTGCAGGGGAGCAGGAAGCGGTAACGGCAAAGCGAGCGCGGCAGGGTGAGAGGCTCCTTACGGTGAGTTACCCAGCAGAACTACCTCCAGAGTGTGACCCAGCCGGGAATTGAAAAGGAATCGATTTAATGCGCCCTTTGATGACGTAATTATGACTAATGAGGTGGCGGTGTGCTAAACGCATGGTTCGGGCCGGCACTGGTTGGGTCCCTTCCTCAGGGGAGCCCTTGTGGGATACTTGTGCCTGCCGGTGGTTGTGCACACCTCTCTCGGAATGCCCGTGCCCGTGCCCGGGCCCGTGCCCGGCAGGCACTTAGTGCTGATTAGGCCTTCTGCCGCTTCTGAGACTCGGCGGACGCACGTTTGCTTCTCCGCCTGAGGCGGGCTCTGCTGCCGCCTTACGATTGGCGGGGTTCGCGCAGACTACTGTCAGCGCCCGCTAGTGGGACTGCGGCGGTCCGCGGGGCTGTGAGGGGCTTTGACAGGGCTGGGCCTCGGCCTCACTTTCGAGAGCTTCGCGCTGACTCGAGCCGACGGGAACTACAAGGGGTTTTGGCGGCGGGTCGCAGTTCTGCCTCTCAGCTGCTATGGACAACGTGAGGCTTCTTCTGCCCCTTGGAAGTGCGACACCCCAATGTATGCCCTGCCCTGATTGTCAGGGCGTGGGTGCCTTGGTCACCTCTGTCTTAGCGATAGCGAGGCCTTGTATGTGATTGAGAGGGAACTGAGTGGCTGGCTTGTGTCCTTGCTCTGTGGTTGCTATCTTTGAAGAAAAATAAATAGAAAAGTGCACAAGAAATTCTCATGTCTGTGTTATTTTCAAGCAACTACTGCTGTTACCCACCAAACACCCCTCATTCTCTTTTCCTGATGTGGCTACAATGAGATGGCAGGGGTTTGGCCAGTGCTCAGTCTGCTGTTCTGTGTTGTCTGCTTTGCCTGCCTGCATTTGCATACAATACATATAGACAAAGAAAACAAATATCTTGTGCCTGAAATAAGAGGAGTTCCTGTTGAAGTCCAGGAGTGTGGAAGTAATAAGATGGCTTTATTGACAGATTTATAAGAAAAAATTTGCTAATTGTGTGCATATTGTGAGATACATCTAGTGTCAGAAGTTAATAAGGTTAAGTCAGTAGTCAACTGGGTCTACTGAAAAATCCACGTAAATAACTGAATTAATCCAGTTTTCATCACTCATAAATGAGTCTGCATCTAAGTGTCAACTTGGATCACTTCTGTCTGCCTTCCTTGGTATCTTGGTTTTTTTCTGAGGACTGCATTTCATTTCTTGCTCCAAAGTAGTCATGCTCTCATTGAACATATGCTATTCTGTTGGGCTTTCTTCTGCAATACCACTGAGTTTGAAATTAAAAGATTCAATGAATGCTGCAACTGTATTTAGATGGGCAATAAATTAACTTTTTTTTTTTTTTTTTACTAGTCTTGTGTTAATTCAGGACAATAAATTATCTATCATAAGTTGGTTTTTTATTTGTGATTTTTAGTGTTCTGAGAGACTAAAACTTTTCAAAATTTCTCGGATTGGGGGCATGCTCTGTTATTTTGGGGGTGTAAGATATTCCTATAAACACAATTTGGAAGTAAATTCTGGATAGGTGGAAATAATGAGATTTGAGCTTGAAATTTTGTTTGGTTTAACTTTTAGGGAATTACACTTTTAACTGCAAGTCATCTATCAATGTACAATATGTCAAAAGTGGGCAAGAAAAAATTAAACAGTGAAGTAAATGGCTGACAACTTTCTACATGAAACTTTATGGAATGATGGATGCAAGAAAGATGCTGATCATCTGTCTTAGACCCATCATTACAGATGAGGTGAAGGCAGCAGCATTCTTTTCCTTCAACCTCACTTTCTCTCTTGCCCTCACAAGATCCTGATATGTATTTCAGCATCTGCTTGGCAAAGCAGTGATAGCAGATAGAACTGGACTTCCATAAGTAGTTGCTTCTGCTCTTTTCCATCTCTTGGCAAAATGATTTCTCCGTGGGACAGTTTTTCTGAGATGCAAGAAAGTGTTTTGTGATAAAAATAGGAATTCCACAATTTATTTTACCTGAAGTCTGACAATAACTTTGCTTTTATCATAACCAGGTAATTCTTCTTCAGTATGTGTTTGTTGGAAGCAAGGTAGAATTTACACATTTGCTCAGGGGTGTTAGCAAGCATGGTGGCATCAGCTCAGGGCTTTTCAATTCCAGTCACATACAAAAAATCTGCACAAGTTAGGGAACACTTGCTATCTAGTTTCTTCTAGCAGTCTAAAGAAAATTGCTTCTTAGCCTCACCTTAATTTTCAATCTCTATATTCAATGTTTGGTTTGATACTAGCAGCTTTCCTAACTTTCTTCCTTTTGTCCATACTAAGTACAAAAATAAAGGAATTTGAGACATACCCTTCACTATAAAAGTCATTCAAGCCTAATGACCATCTTCTTTCAGAAACCATGTTCTTCAAAGTGAGTTAGACTATGACAAGAAACAAAGTTTCTGCATTAATGTGACTTTGAAATGTCTTTGCTTTTTCTGTGGCATTCTCAGTGTGAGCCATGTGAATGTGGAAGTTGAAGATGAGTGCTGCTGCACAGATCTGAAGTAATTTTTCTCAAAGTTAATTTGTAAAATGCTTTCATTGAAGCATTTGAACTCTCTCCAGAGATTCTTTTGCATCAGCAGCACACCCTCTGTGTCTCATCCACAGGCACAGACTTCTGCTAAACTTTTTGAAGTTTGAGGATCTCTGCAACTCCCACCTCCAGCTATGTTTGTTGTATAAGTAAGGGAGGAATAGCCATGAGATTACAAGCCTATATGTCTCTTTTAAAAGTTAGCAAAGAATATTTCACCTTGTAGGGGGAGAAGTGTAAGAAACCTGGGTGAATAAGAAGCTCTTTGCTCCTGAGTGTGACAGCACATTAAATCCCTGGCAACTCCTGTGTACCCAGAAGCTGAAAAGTGCTGTTTTATTACATCCTTATTTAAAGGAAGTAAACATCTTGTGTTTACTAGATACAAAATGTGACTTAAGTATGAAAAATTTTAGAACCATTCTTTCACAAAGAGGATTGATAAAATTGCAAGAAGTAACTATAAAGATTATGACATTATGTTGCCAAGATGGAGAATAGTTAGCTGTGGAGATGTTACACCCCTGCAGTATTTGCTTTGAGGGAGGTGGGTCCTTGCTGAATTTGTAGAATAAAGAAATGCATTTACGAACTTTGACTGTTTCTTCATGCTGTCGCGGTTTGAGACAAGTTAGGAGGAAACATTCTGAAATTGTCTCCTCTGAAAAAGGCAGGTCTTGGCACTCCCTCCCTCCACCGAAAGGAATTTCTTGGAGCAAAGTGAAAAAAACTGTTTATAAACTGTGTATAAATAAAGCCATACTTCATTAACCCTCATGTTTCCTACCTGACAGCTAAAATCAGGTAAACCTGTTACCAAGACAGTTTGATGTTTCCACTGGTTTTGTAGTCTCTGAAAAGTGCTAGTTAGTTTATGTCTGTATAATAAGCTGACTGTGCATAGTACTTTCTAAGTGGCACAGTATTCTTACTGTCCTACCACATCTTTTGCAGGCTAATTCTTTTGCCATGGAAGCTGAAGAAATTATGGAATGTATCCAGGAATTCCCCGAACACTATAAAGTTATTTTGGATAGACTCAATGAACAACGTGAGCAGGACCAGTTTACAGATATCACACTGATTGTTGATGGTATGTATACACTTGAGAACCAGTTGGTACCCACAGAATTCTGAAAGCTGTGCTGGGAAGCTGTTGGGTTTGTCATGGGTCAACTGTCAAGCTGGGTTGCTAACATTCTTGGCTCTGTATTGGTGTGTGAGTTGCTTGCAGTTTCACTTATTAATCTTGGGAGGAACAGAGTCTCCAACAGAGATTAATAATTTTGTTTCTGCTTTTAAGAGAATCCCAGAATGGCCTGGGCTGAAAGGGACCTTAAAGCTCATCTGGTTCTAACCCCCTGCCATGGGCAGGGACACCTTCCATTAGACCAGGTTGCTTCCAGCCCCATCCAACCTAGCCTTGAACACTTCAGGGATGGGGCAGCCACAGCTTCTCTGGTCAGCCTGTGCCAGGGCCTCACCACCCTTGCAAGGAAGAATGTCTTCCTGACATCTAATCTAAATCTCCCCTCTTTTAGTTTAAAGCCATTCCCACTTGTCCTATCACTATCTGCCCATGTAAAAAGTCACTCTTTTTTTAAGCCCCCTTTAGGCATTGGAAGGTGCTCTAAGGTCTCCTCAAAGCATTTTCTTCTCCAGGCTGAATAGCTCCAACTCTCTCTGCCTGTCTTCATAGGAGAGGTGTTTCAGCCCTGTGAGCATCTTTGTGGCCTCCTCTGGACCCACTATAACAAGTCCACATTATTCTTGTGCTGAGGACTCCAGACCTGGATGCAGTGCTCCAGGTGGGGTTTCATGAGAGCAGAGTAGAGGGGGAGAGTAGGGAGCCCCTTCCGAACAAGGGGCTGAACTTGTACAAATATTGGTTGATTATTTAAAAAGAAAAAGAAAAACCAGCTTGAAATAAGGTCGCCTTCTTGCTTCTTGGGTATCTGCCTACTATTTTAATCTATAGTTAAAATAAGGTAGAACAACTCACTTATCTTTTTCTATGTGTTCTAAAGACATAAGTATTAGTTTAAAAGGAAAATGGAGATGCAAATGCTTATTATCTCATTAGAAAAGGTGGTGTCTGATAGGTCACCTAAGATTGCTTCTTATCCCAAACATGTCCTAGAATGGATGAGCACTTCAGTGAAGATAGGCAGTGTCCACTAGGACAGACCTAGCTTAAGGAGTACCACCTGATCCTTAAAAGGATAGCAAGAATTCACTTGAAAGAAAAGGGACCTACAGAGCCTAGATTAGAAAAAAGTAAGCAAATGAAGAAAAAAATCGTTCTTTGGAATCACCGTAGTTTCACTGACAATGCTTACATAAAACTTATCCTGAATGTTTGTTCCTGCTCTAGTATTACCAAATCCATGTATTGAGCTCAAAACTGTTTTCTTGTGCAGCTGTGTAGTTCTGATACATGTTGGTTCTCTTTCCTCCGTCCCATGGAGCCTTCTGGATGTTCATGCCTGGACCAGGGAGAAGGCAACACCGTGATGGGAATACACAGTCTGGAAAACAGGAAGAATAGAGCTAAACCAATTTTGTTCTGCAGGGATCTTTATGATGGCAGAAATGATGATTAAATACATCCATATGTAAGAGCAGCAAAATCCAAGGAGAGCTTTGTGTTGATTTCGCACAACCTAGATTTTGGTAGCGGAGGAGAGCTACAGAAGTAGCTTCTGTGAGAAGCTGCTAGAAGCTTCCACCATGTCCGACAGAGCCAATCTGATGGCTCTGAAGATGGACATGCTGCTGGCCCAATTAGAGAGGTTGGTAATGCCTCTGTGATGACATATTTGCGAAGAAAATCAATACAGTGCGCGTGCAGTTTTTCCAGGGGTGGCATGGTGCCGTGGCCGCTGCCATCTTGATGCAGCCCGTGATGAGACTTGCCTGCCTGGCTGCCCCTAGCTGGCTGCCCCGTAGCTAGCTGTGCCGCAGGCAGAAGGGCAGGGGTGGCGGCAGTGGCTTCTCCTTCCCAGCGCCCCACATGAAGAGAGGTGTTAAATAGCACCAGTGCCGTGGCAGTTGCCACTGCCCACGTGGTGGCAGCGGAGCCACCTGGCCGCAAACATGGCGAGCAACTCCCCAGTGCAGAACCTAAACAAGATTGACCTTTTGGCACTGCGGGATCCTGCAGGAATCTTTGAATTGGTGGAACTTGTTGGCAATGGTACTTATGGACAGCAGTTTTTCTTCTAGTCAGAGAAGAGGAGGAAGTGAGGACATGTGAGGGAAAACAATATGGCAGTACCAAGGTCAGTGGAAAAAAAGAGGGGGGAGGAGGTGCTCCAAGCACTGGAGCTGAGATTACTCTTCAGGCTGTGATGAGGACTGGTAAAGTAAGCTAGCTGTCCCTCTGCAGCCCATGAAGTCCATGGGGGATGCAGAGATCCACTCACAGCCCATGAAAGAAGTACACACGCTGGAGCAGATGGATGCTGGAGAAAGCTGTGATCTAGTGGGAGACCTGAATAGAGAGAGTGGGCCCGTGCTTCCACAAATAGAGAAGGGTCTTGCTTCCAAACTAGAGCAGCCTATCCTTAGAAGACTGAACCTTGTGGATGAGTGACCCATGCCGCAGCAGTTTCAGAAAGACTGTTTGCCTGTGACGGGGACTCACATTGCAGCAATTTTGGCAGGACTGCTGCTCTTGAGATTGGAGCCATGCTGGAGAAGTTCATCACGAAGAACTGTCTCCCGTGGGAGGGATGCCATGGTATAGCAAAGACTCCTCTCCCTGAGTGAACAAAAAAAGATCTTGGGTGACGAACTGACCAAAATCCCCACGCCCTATCTCCCTGCACTGTTGGTGGGAAAGAGGGAGGAGTTGGGAGGGAAAAAAGGTGTTTCAAAGTCTTATTTTACTTCTCATTATCCTCCTCTGACTCTGTTAATAATAAATTTACCTTATACCTTTAAATTTGAATCTGTTTTGCCCTTGGAATGTTTTCTCCCAATCCTCATCTGTCATGGATTGACACTGGCCCAACACCAGGCACCCACGAGAGTCACTCACGCACCCTCCCCTGCCACAGCTGAGCAGAGGAGAGGAAAAAAAATTAATGAAGGGTTCATGAGTTGAGATAAGGATTAGGAGAAAAACACTTCAAGGGCAAAACAGGCTCAGCTTAGAGGTACAAAGTGAATTTATTACTAACAGAATCAGAGGAGGATAATGAGAAGTAAGATAAACCTTTAAAACACCTTTTCCCCCCCAGCCCCTTCCTACCAACAGTGCAGGGAGACAGGGCATGGGGGTTTTTGGGTCAGTTCATCACAGAGACTTTCTCCTGCTGCTCTGGGAGAGGACTCCTTCCCCTGTGAGACCATAGGGTCCCTCCCACGGGAGACAGTTCTCCATTAACTTCTCCAGCATGGGTCCACTCTCACAGGCAGCAGTCTTACTGCACCTGCTGCAATGTGAATTCCCCCCACGGGCAAGCAATCCTCCCAAAACTGCTGCGACGTGGGTCACTCTTCACAGGGTGCAGTCCTCCAAGGACAGGCTGCTCCAGCCTGGAAGCAAGGGCCCTCTCTCTCCACCGAGTCTTCCACTGGATCACAGCCTCCTCCAGACATCCACCCACTCTGGTGTGAGCACCTCCTCCATGGGCTGCAGGTGGATCTCTGCATCCCCCATGGACCCATGGGCTGCAGGGGAACAGCCTGCTTCACCATAGTCTTCACCATGGCCTGCAGAGGAATCTTGGCTCCAGCGCCTGGAGCACCTCTTCCCTCTCCTTCTCCACTGACCTTGGTGTCACCATATTGTTTTCCCTCACATGTTCTCACCTCCTCTTCTCTGACTAGAAGAAAAACTGTGTGACTTTGCTTTGATTTTCTTCTTAAATATGTCATCACAGAGGCATTACCAACCTCTCACATTGGCCCAGTTTTGGCCAGCAGCATGTCCATCTTCAGAGCTATCAGGGATTGGCTCTGCTGGACATGGTGAGAGCTTCCAGCAGCTTCCCACAGGAGCCACCTCTGTGGCCCCCCTGCTACCAAAAACCAGGCTGTGCAAAACCAATACATCATCTCAACTCATGAGCCCTTTGTTATTTTTTTTCCCTCTCCTCTGCCCAACTGAGATCAAGAAAAGATGAGCAAACAGCTTTCATGGGTGCTTGGCGTTTGGCCAGTGTCAAACCACGACAAGCTTGGATAAAATCTGAGAGCTGAGCCCAAGACAGACAGGGAAAAGTTTGAACAGGAATTTCCCACAACTTAAATATTTGAAAAGAGAAACACTCTTGAGTGAGTCCTTCAGCTGACTGAATTGAAGAGCTTCAACAAGGTCACTGATGTCAGCAAGGATCTGCATAAGATGGGACAGGCTAGCTGCTGTGGTATCCCATGTTACAAGGAGACATACTAAGTAACTATGAGCTGCTGGAATAGATTTGTAGACTGGGTGATTCTGCAGCTGTTCTCTTCTCTGCATCTGCACTTATTCTGCACCATGAGTGAAGAAGGTGTTATCCTAAACCAAATTTTTTCTCTGTCTTTGTAGGTCACCATTTCAAAGCTCATAAGGCTGTTCTTGCTGCCTGTAGCCAGTTCTTCTACAAATTCTTCCAAGATTTCACTCAGGAGCCCTTGGTGGAGATTGAAGGTAGTCTGATTCATACAAATTAAAACCTTCAGAGTTGTGTGCTCATGCTCAAAATCAATGTAGTATCACTGGTATGGGTTTAAATGCATGCTTGATCATATTGATTAGTTTTCTAGATATCAGCTCTTGAGTTGTGAGGTAATATTGTGGTTTAACCCTGACTGGCAACTAAGTACCACAGAGCCAGACTGGCTCATTTTCCACCAGTGGGATGGGGGGGGGGAATCAGAAGTGTAAAAGTGAGAAAGGAACTCGTGGATTGAGATAAAACCAGTTTAATAATTAACAAGAAATAGTAACTTTGTGAAAATTATAAGTAAAAAAGGAAAAAAAATAGGGGAAAACCAAGGAAGACAAGTGATGCAAATTAAAACAGTTGTTTGCCACCAAGTGACCAATGCCCAGCCAATTCCCTAGCAGTGGCCCTTTCACCTGCCTTCCACACACACTTTATATACTGAGCATGATGTCATATGGTCTGGAATATTCCTTTGATCAGTTGGAGTCACCTGTCCTGGCTGTGTCTCCTACCAACTGCCCACACACCCCCAGTCTGCTTGCTGTCAGGCCAGTGTGAGAAGCAGAAAAGGCCTTGGATCTGTGTAAGCACTGCTCAGCAGTAACTGAAACAGCAGTGTGTTATCAACACTGTTTCAGCACAGGAAGGACATCGACCTCTTGGAGCAAGTCCAGAGTCCAGAGGAGGCCACCAAGATGATCAGAGGGCTGGAGCACCTCTGCTATGAGGAAAGGCTAGAAGAATTGGGATTGTTCAGCCTGGAGAAGAAAAGCTTCAGGGTGATCTAATTGGGGCCTTCCAGTACCTGAAGGGAGTCTACGGGAAAGATGGAGAGACTATTTACAAAGGTCTGGAGTGACAAGACAAGGAGGAATGGCTTTACACTGACAGACAGTAGGTTTAGATTAGATATTAGGAAAAAATTCTTTACTGTGAGGGTAACGAGACCCTGCACAGGTTGCCCAGAGAAGTTGTGGATTTTTCATCCCTGGAAGTGTTCAAGCCCAGGTTGGACGGAGTTTGGAACAACCTGGTCTAGTGGAAGGTGTCTCTGCCCATGGCAGAGGGTTGAAACGCAATGATCTTTAAGGTCCCTTCCAACTCAAACCATTCTATGATTGAGCACAGATCCAAAACATAGCCCCATGCTAGCTACTATGAAGAAATTTAAATCTGTCCCAACCAAAACCAGTACAGGTAGCTATTGCCACTGGAAAAAACTTCCCCTGAAGAAAAATTAAAAATAAAAAATACCTTTGCTGGGATGCAAGAACAGGATAGATGTGGAGCAATACCTTCCTAGTAGGTAAGAAGAAATTTCCTGGAACAATGCAGCTTCTAATAACTTGCTTCTCAGAGATCTCTTGAGAGAGAGAGAGATCATATTTTTATGTTTAAATTTGAACTTTTTTATTTTATACAAGTAGCTTTTTGTCCATCTTATCCTTTTTTATCTTTGTCATGGAATGACTCTAGTTGTTCCACATTCACCTGTTTCTATAGTAGACTTTTTATTCCAATGTGAGCCTTTCAAGGGTGGCATCTTTTTGAAACTGGATATTGGAGTACTGTGAGCAGGCAAGTGTGAAAGACTGAGGAATTGTTAAAAGAGACTGTTTTTCTTGCTTGTAAACAGGTGTAAGTAACATGGCATTTCGTCACCTAATTGAGTTCACCTATACAGCAAAGCTAATGGTACAAGGTGAGGAAGAAGCAAATGATGTTTGGAAAGCAGCTGAGTATCTACAGATGTTAGAAGCTATCAAAGCACTTGAAATCAGGTAAACACATAAGCCTTTTTCTTCCCAACACTGAAATGTAGAGTCTTAAGAATCCTTGTATGAGAGCTGCCAGTATTTTCCAGTGCTCTTCTTTATCCTGAAACCTCCTAAATTCATGTGGTATTGTATACTCTTCTACTATAAGATATGGGTCAGAATTATACAAGCTAAACAAATGAATGTCACATTCTTTGGGCTATAACTCAATGACAAGTGACATGGCTGGTAAATGTTGCAGACATTGTAGGGCTGTGACTTTGTGATAACTAATACCAGGCTTCTATACTGACTGCCTGCCGCTTCTCTTTCCCCGGCTAGCTGATGACAAGAGAAGGGGGGGCGGCAGGTTCCCCCTGGAGCTCCGTTGAATCCCAGTTGTCAGTTGTTTCGTCGCAATATAAAACACAGGCAGCGCACACGGGTCCCAGGGAAACTTTATTTGATGGCAAACTTCCCCTTTTCCTCTCCTGGGACCCCGATCAAGGGGCAAACAAAGACTTTTATGATGGGGGAAAGTCAGGGGAAGGCACAACTTTCAACAAATCAGGAGAGTTGGGAGTAAAAAACCTAGGCGGGAATAACAGTAGTGAACCAATAAACTTCCAAGGGAGGAAAAACGGTTTCAATAAACGGGTAAAGTTTGGAGAAATAGAAACTAGAAACTAGCTGACGAAATAACTGGGAAAAGGCGGAGACAAAAGGAAAACAGCACCAAGGAAAACCACCAAATCACAAATCAAACCATAAACCTACTAATAAAACAAAAAGCACGATACAACAACTGCCCACACCTGATTGACAGCTGGCTGTACAGTGATGATATCTCTCAGGTAATTAGACCTCATTAACAAGTTTGAACTACTCTTTTGATTTCATGCAGCTTTCTGCTTTCAAGAGAATAGGCAGTGATTTTAAAGGTTCTTGTTGCAAATTTAGTCTCTCAAACTTCTGGAACAAATGTAGTTGTTATAATTGGTTTTATATGGGATTAGTACTTAATCAAATGTTGCTGTAGCACCTTTTATCCAGTACAAGGAACTGTAATTCATTACCAAACTCCAACCTGAGAAAAGCAGGTGCCATTCCCATCATGTTCTTTTTCTTCCCCTTCCTTCTCTTTCACAAAGTACTGTCATGTTCTCATTTCTTCTGTATGCTATACTGTTCTTCTGTCATGAAGCAGGGGGAGTGGCAATAAATAACTCCCAGCATTGCAGTTATCCTTGCTTTCTCTTCTAGAATGCTGAAAGGTCTTTGTGTTCAGGCTAAGGAAAGACTCTTGTTTCTTCTTTATCTCCCCATAGACACACTAAGCTAGGGAGAATGGCTCTGACACAGAGTTACTCTAGTAGCCAAACAAACAAAACCTCCATGACATGGTACCCTGGAAACTTGGTTTTCAACATCAGTGATTTTTTTTGTTTTTTGGAATCAAATTATTCTGTTGATTGGTAGCAGAGCTGAATAACTATGTTGGGGTTTTTTGATAGAAAAGATAGGATTGTGCATTTCTAGTTCTACTCTCCAACCCCAACAATACCCTTTTTTGACATTATTGAGATTAAACATGGTATCACCAAAAGAAATTTTTTTTTTTTTTTTCATTTAGGGAAAATCAGACCATTGCTGTCTCTTTGAGAAATTTAAGGCACTTGAAATTTAAAAACTGTGTTCTAATTGGTATCACTTTGAGTCTCTGTACACTGCTAGAGCTGTTTAACCAGGATTCAGATCAGGCTGTCAAGCTAAACTGTCTAGTCTGCAATTAATTCCCACTAATGTATAATGTTTGTTGGTTATGCAGTCTCGGGATTTCCTCTGGTTGAGATGATCCCGAGGTGTGTTGAAAGTCTCTTTTCCCCAACCCGGCTGTCAAAGAATAGATCAGGAGTCTTCAGCTTGTGTTCTCAAGGTTGTTTATTATTTTTTATCTAAAACATTTTCTGTCTGGCCTGCCGAGATCTATCCTGCAGGTCAGTCTGAGGCACACTCCCCGCCCACGGGGCTGGTGTTGTCTTTTATACTACAAACTACGTATTCGATATTTACAGTTATTTTCCAATACCTATCACCTATGTTAGACAGTGACTTTCTACTCTAAACCAATCCCAAATTGCCACCATCACCAAGAAGATGGAGGCTAGGAAGAAGAAGGAAGAAGGACAGGACGACGCCCAAATCCCTCCATCTTGTCCCCCTAGACCCCCATAGAAAAATTCTTCAAAATTCCACCTTTCACCCTGTGACAACTACTGTTATGCTACTTAAACTTTTGTGACTTGTAATTCTTCATATAAAGTTGGTAATTTGCTCCATGGGTCGAACTCAAAGCCACAGGGGTCTTTGGCTGCATGCCAGGGTCTTCAACCCCCCTGCCAGGGCTTTGAGCCATCCAGGGCATCCAGAGGGATGTCCTGAGTTCTGACAATGCAGCACTAGTAAATGCTGTAATTCTTATGTTACAAGGAAATAAATGTTTGGCTTAACACACACATGGTGCAAGCCAGTCTATTCTTAGAATTATTTCCATTGTTCATAGATTTTTGGCTGGGTGTTTTCGGTTAGTAAAACAAACTTGAGTACCACTCAGTCTCAGTTTTCTCCTTCCCAGTAGGAAGGGGACAAATTGCAATACAGTGCCTCTAGCTGAGCTTTGATTAAAAGGGGCAAGCATCAGAAACTTTAGCTAAAGTAGAGGTTATTATAAAACTAACCATTTATGTAATGCATCAAAGAGTTGCACAGCACATAATCTAGACTTGAAAGAAAACAACTAGCTGTTATTCCTTGAGGTACAGTGTATTGTATGTGTGTATCCTCATTCAGTTCCACACCCGAGCCACACAATGTACTCAAGGACAGTAGTCTCCTCTTTGCTGAGCAGATTATTATTTTTGTACGTGTTCCTGGAGCTCCTTGCAGTAATGTGCAAAGTAACTGTCACATTCTAGGCATCGGAAATATGTCCTAGATGAAACTTAAGTTTAGCTGCTATGTCTTCCTGTGTCTGAATATAGTAAAGTGCAGTTTAATAAGCTATATCATGCATTAGGTCATTAGCCACACATCTCTACTGTATGACATACTGATACTGGAGAAAACCTTATCACCCCTATTACTAGAAAACCTGGAAGTGATAGGGAGTAGGTTACATAAAAGGATTTATCAGGCTGCAAAGGAAGGTAAAGGTACAAAGTACTCTGATTACAGTCTGATTTGAGGGGAAGATAGCCACTCATTTTCAAAACTGATAATCAGTAGTTAAACCTCCAGCATGTAAGTGCTGTGGATAATCATGAGTGTGTGACTTGAAAGCATTGTCCCAGTGTCTTGGGGTGATTTTATGATGATGCTTTATTCCCTGTCTGCTTTATGCCCAGAAAACAACTTCTGTAGCTTTAAGATGGACCCGGAAGGAGGGGCAGGGAGCCTTGGGCTCCTGTACAGGCTCTGTTCAAGCTATCTCTGAAGTGGTTGGTGCCTACACGGATTGTTACTTCATTGACTTGTTTGCTGGATTAATTTTCGACAACTTAGGCAAGAAGGTTCTGGGTTTTTCTCTGTTTTTTTCCCTTCCCCTGGCCTGGAGGCTTTTCACTGGCAAATCCTTTTGGCAGGGTTTTTTGGGGTTGTGGTTTGTTTCTTTTTCTCCTGCCTGGGGAGCCTGTTGGGTGGCCCCAGCTGGTCTGAACCCTGGAAAGACCGAGCCAGCGAAAGAAGTGTTATAAATAAGAAGCTTGACTAGGCCAGTATTCAAGCAGCAATCAATTTATTGGCTGAGAGGAGAAGACCCACACCAGAAATCCAGCAGGTTCCCAGCTGCTTTATGAACTCTTTTCTCCTCCCCTGACAGAGACAAAGGGCAGTCGCCATCTTTGCCTCTCAGCCACGCGGCAAGGTGGGGGTGGGGTGTAAAGTTCAATTTTCTTTTTTTTCCTGTGCTTTGTGGGTGTCTTGCTTTGTTAATAAAGAGTTTTCCGGTTTTTTTCACTTTCATCCCCTGGTATCCATTTCTCTCATTGGCAGAAGAAATGGGAGTTATTGAAGCCCTCTCTTTTTAGAGAAAAAAACTCATTTTACAGCGTTTTTCTCCTAGAATTTGTCTCCAAACTGAGACACCCAGTCAGCTCTGACCGTGTTTGAGATGGGATGCTATCTCTGACATCTTGGAGGAAGGGGGTTTTGTATTTATGGTGCAAGGAAAAGAATAACAGAACTGGAAGCTGTGCTTAGGCCCAGATAAATTAAATTAAAATACTCTTTTCACATCCCAGTGGCGTTTTTCTTTTTTACTACAACTGTTAGCTGTGTGTTTTCCTAATGTACGAGGTGTTATAATAATCATTGTGTGAAGTCACAGCTGTAGTGTTTTGTAAGAAGCTCTAAGTGCTGCAGGCAGTTTCGTGCACTCCAGAGCTTGAGAGGTGAATAGTGTAGGAAGAACTTGAATCTTATTTCTGAGTAGGCAGGCCAAAATACAGTATTTTGCATTTCTTGTATAAACCTATGTCATTAGGCTAACTGGCCTTTCTTGATAGGTGCTTTGTATCATTCAAATGGAGCCATTTAAAACACTTTAATAACCTTATGTTAAAGGCTCCACAGCTTTAACTGTGCTGTTCTACAGCTCTAAGGAGTATAGATTAAGGACAAATTAACATCTGAAATGGGTGCAGGTTATGTGGCCACTCATCATTCAGCTTCTTTGAGAAGCATCTAGCTAGTGTTTAATGCAGAAGCTCAGCATCAGACAGGAATTGTTATGTAAGTGCTTATGGATCTTAACTATGTTATGTAAATGTTTTGCAGGAACAAAGAAAATTCATCACCCTTAGAATCAAAACAAAGACAAGGTAAAAATAAAGCAAAAAAAAGGAAGATTGCTGAAACGTCTAATGTTATCACAGAAACACTGCCATCTGCAGAATCAGAGCCTGTTGAAATTGAGGTTGAGATTGCTGAAGGGACGATTGAAGCAGAAGATGACAGCATTGAAACACTTGAAGTAGCTTCTGCAGAGCAATCTATAAAATACATACATACAACAGGTACATCAGATGAATCTGCTTTGGCTCTTTTGGCAGATATCACCAGTAAGTATCGTCAAGGAGAGACAAAATGCCAGATTCAAGAAGGTGGTGCAACTGATCCCTCATGCAAACAGGTAGAAGATATTGAACTTGTGGAACTTCAGGTGTCGCATGTGAAGAATTTATTCCACTGTGAAAAATGTAACCGTTCATTTAAATTGTTTTACCATTTTAAGGAACACATGAAAACACACTCTTCTGAGAGTTACAAGTGTGATATATGCAATAAAAGCTACCTACGAGAGAGTGCTTTGAAACAACACCTCACCTGTCACCACCTTGATGAAGGTGGTGCTAGCAAGAAGCAAAGACCTGGCAAGAAAATACATATATGCCAATACTGTGATAAGCAGTTTGATCACTTTGGACATTTTAAAGAGCACCTCCGAAAGCACACAGGTAAGAACACTGATATGGTCCTGTTCTTGTGGCTTTGGGTCTAGCATTTTGAAGTTTTGCATGTTTTGGAGAAATAGAAAATATGCTGAAGAAAATGCATGAGTCCTGAGTGCTAGAAATACTTGGCTTGTAGTTGCAACTAAAATGCTGGTTTGGTTTTAAATTTTTTTTGTTTGTTTTGCATTGATATAAACTTTGAGGGATTGAGGTGGTTAAAAATAGATGCCTAAAACCAGAAAGCACTAATGAAGCTTCTCTTTTCAGTCTATTAAATCCTAAAATATTTATTTCAAAATAATTTCTTAAAGTATGGTTTTTTTTCTTGAAAAGTACTAAACTGAGGAGCTGCCATGACATGCTCTTATTTTCACAATTATACTAGTAAATGTTTCTGTTGAAATATGATCTAAACCATGAGCTTCTCAGTGGAATATATATTTTAAAGAGTTTCTTTTACTAACAGAACATATGAGCCATTGCCTAATAATGCATTAGGCATAAAGTACCCTCTTCCTCTTGACATCTCATCTGATTTCATTTTTTTTGTTAATTAACTCAGCAAAACATTTCTAGCGACTATAGTAGACTTTTGTTACTGTAAAATCTGCCTCTGAACAGTATCTTTTGAGTACAAAATTGCTTGTGTTTCTTCTATGTAATATGGGAGGTTAAGATGCTATTTCTTCATGTCACTGAAAAGTCTGTACTATCTGAATAGGTACTGAATATTATATAGATAGCTCTCTGAATGTAAAATATATGTTGTCCTGATCTTTCAGACATTTTTATTTGATATATCAGTCATGAATCATCAGTAAGAATTTAATAGAGGGTGGCAGTCTTATTTCTTTTGCAGCTTGCTGTTGCAAAAGCCTTTTAATTGGAACTTCTTTGTATCTGTATATGACACTGCATCAAATCTACTCCAAATAGCCCCTTAAAAGTTGCATTTATGAAAACTCTTTGGCAAATCCTTCTTCCCTATGAAGCCGGGAGTGTTTCTCCATTATGACCAAGCCAAATGCAAGCTACCTAACAAAAGTCTTTTCAGAGAAATTTGTGGAGGATTGGATTAACAGAATAAGCCAAATATAACAGTATATTTGTTGCTGTTGTGACAGGATTTTGGGGATGAAGCAACTTAGCATATCACAGGAGGTGCAGAGTACATTCTAAATATTTATTGATGCAAGTATCACACATGGAATCTAATTACTTCCAGTTCCAGTGATGTGCTTGAAGCAGCCAAATTAATCAGCCCATGTCTGAAAACTCTGTAATTGAAGTAATTTGTATGCGGATTATACAAACTTCTTGAGAAAAATTCATCAAGGTCTTTGCCATTCTTCATGAATGCAAAATATGTTTCACAGGTAGTGTACTTTGAACTGCAAATAACATCTTCCATAGGAGTGAATAAATGGACTCTATTTACATACCATGAATAAATGATCCCAAGAAGTTAATTTGATAAATGCCTACCTTTGTGTTTCTGGGGGAGAAAAAAAAAGAAAGAAACTCAAATAAAAAAATCCCAACAACCTTACTATATCTCTCTAAACTCAATCTAAACAATGATATGGCAGCTTTATGGTTATGGGTGAATTCCCTGGTATTTCTTACATATTGGGCAAATAGAAGTCACTGTGTTATTATGAATGTCTTTGGGTTAAAAAATATTTCTTTTGGGCAATCCCCTTCCTGTGGCTGCAGGATTATAAAGGTCCAACAAAATATTGGACTATCTTAGATCAGAATTTCTGTCCTGTGAGTTACTTATGATTGGCAAGTGAAATCTGGCCTGTTCTCATAAATGGAAAAAAATTAATTCTTAGATCAGGTCAAGAACCCTCCCTCTTTAGTCTTAGCTAAGTGAGATTTTATAAACTCATAGTTTAATGACACCCAGAGGAAGAGAAGCAAGTTGTCACCTTTAGCAGAGGAGTTCAGTTACCAGCTTGCCAGTGTACTTCTGAAGCTAGAGGCAGGCTGATACGCTCTCTGTTTTCCATTGCTGCTGCTGAAGTCACTGCATTGATTTGCACTGTGCAAGAAGTCACACAATGTCTTTTTGGCCTTTGGATATTGCCACTGTTGTCTTTGAATTGTCAGTTTCAGATACTTTAGGTAGAATATGAAGATTGTTGAAGAATTTGAGTAAAAATAGAATAAATCTGTCCTTAACTGGGCAGTGCCTCGCTTCAAGTAACTCTTTAAATGTGACGAGATTGCAGAGCAGGTGAAGGTTTGTGGTGTGAGTTTTGTTCTGTAATATTCATAGAATCGTAGAATGGCCTGGATTGGAAGGGACCTTAAAGCTCATCTCATTCCAGCCCTTCCTGCCATGAGTGCCTTCCACTAAATCAGGTTGTTTCAAGCCCTGTCCAACCTGGCCTTGAACACTTCCAGGGATGGGACAGCCACAGCTTCTCTGTGCCATGGCCTCACCCTCCTTACAACAAAGAGTTTTTCCTAATATATAATCTAAACCTAGTTATTTTCAGTTTTAAGCCATTCCCCCTTGTCCTCTCACTCCAGGCCCTTGAAAATAGTCTCTCTCCATCTTTCTTGTGAGCTCTCTTTAGGACCTGGAAGGTCACAATTAGGTCATGCTGGTGCCTCTCTTCTCCAGGCTGAACAATCCCAATTCTCTCAGCCTTTCATAGCCAAATGTCTCAGTTTAAAAGACAGATGTCTGCCAAGGAAGGCAGGAATCTTCCCAGAATGGAAAAGATGACCCCCTCCCTCCAAATTATCACTTTGAAATTACAGGGTTTCCAGGCAAAATTATGGGAAAAGGAATAACAAGTCTTTACTGGCAAATTAACTATAAATATAAATCAGAACAAACAACAAAAACAATAACAAGTTTTCCCACCTGTTAATTTTTCTCTTGGGTGTAGTTACAACCACAACCGGCAGGGGGCGTTGTTTGCTCCTAGCAGGGCAGAGAGGCTGCCCCCTGTGGCTTCAGGGGGCGCTATGACACAAGCTTGGCAACCTCTTCAGGTGGTGGTGGTGGAAGCTCGAGCAAAGAGGAGGACAGGAGATTGCTCCTTTTGCAAAGCTCACGGGCAGCAGTTGGTTCTGGTACCCCCATTGTCAGCTGGCACACTCTGGGGAGGTGGGCAGGGCTTAGTAGCAATGTCGGGCTACTGTGCAGAGAAATGGCCCGGTGGGGGCAGCCCCAGTCCTGGCAGCACCCCACACGTTGGCTCTGGACCCCCAAATGGCTGAGAAACAGGGAAAAAACTAGCAGACTTGCAGTGTAGAATCTGCAGCGAAACAAAGTCCTGGAGCCTAACACACAGGAGTAGCCACCACACTGCAGGCCAGGGTCCAGTTGGGCATGGTCCCGGTCCCAGGTGGCACCACATGCAGTGGCTCTGGGCTCCTGAACAACAGGGGAGCGGTGCCGGGAAAATAACAGAGGGCAACAATATTTCAAGTCAGATGCACTCACTGTGTCTCCTTGTGGCCACCACCTCAATCCTGAACCAGAAGAGAGCCGATCCTCCACCAGAAGCGAGCAAGAGTGAGAGAGCCCCAACCCCCCCCCCCCCCCCCCCCCCCCCCCCCCGCCACCCCCCCCCCCCCACCCCCCCCCCACCCCC